ATGCTGGTGAAATATGTCTTTAGCTGCGCATTAAAAAAAAAAAAATACAAAAAAATCAATAATGGAATAATGTACAATTCAGCATTAGTGATTAGTCGATAACCTTTCTGACTTCTGTTGCATCAGATCACACAAGTTAGATCACACTGGGCCTAACATTAGTCTACATCTTTAATCATACAATCTCATCATTACTACTCCAAGATTGAGAGTTTAATGGATCTGTCTTGGAACGATCTCACCTGCCAATTTAATCCATTTCATAGTGCAGTTGTGATGGTAGCAGGGGTATGCTTATCATGAACATGTTATTGTCAGAAACAACAGTGATAAGCATGTATGTTTGCACTTGTTTAAATTTGACATTTTGGGTTTAATCAACTAACAAATAATTGTTAAATTTAAGGGACACTCTTAGTATTTAAAAAATTTTTTTATTATTATGTGGATTATTATAGGCACTTTGTATATTTTTGCATATTTCTAACAAACTAAGCACATTTGTATAACAATGCAATAAAAAAACACTGTTATTTAAATATATTTACATTTGTACAAAGCATTGAAAATGTTACGTAGTTATTCATTCGATTCAAATAACATAACTGTGTAAAAGACAGAGCACATACAACGACATTCACTAATGTGAGAATTGGCGGCAATTTGAAGTGAAATCATAGTAAATTTCAAATTTAAGGCCAAAATAACTGAACTAGAAAAAAAAAACTATCCAAGTCAGTTATGCTTCCAGTTTGGCTACTTTGGCCTTAAATTTGAAATGTACTTTGAATTAATTTTAAAATAGGTGAATGTCCCTGTATGTGTTTTGTCTTTTATATTGTTATGCTATTTGGATCGAATTAATAACTACATAACATTTTCAGTGTTTTGTGCAAAAAATAAATATATTGAATTCATTGTTTTTTTTTGTTTTTTTTTATTGTATTTATTTTCCATGCATGTTTCATCTGTGGTAGCGTATTAAAATAAAATAATACCGAAAGACCCTTTGAAGATATTTTGATTTGAAACACTGTTGCCCGCCCTGTTTGTGGCTAACCACCACACAACCCCCGAAAGGTTAGCCAGAACATGTCTGAGCCACAGAAGACAAATAGTAATACCTAGAGATTAATTGTTTCAGCAAGAGTTTAAGCGGGAGTTGTCTTTTAAATGAAAAGACAGAAAACAGAAAGATATATGCTTCTAAGAGATGCAGCTTGTTCCTGTTTTTTTTCCCAGTACACTCTGTCAATGTACCGTATTTCCCAGTACACCCCCCACATTTTTGTAAATATTTTATTATTTATTTTCATGTGACAACACTGAAGAAATGACACTCTGCTACAATGTAAAGTAGTAAGTGTAAAGCCTGTATAACTGTGTAAATTTTCTGTCCCCTCAAAATAACTCAACATACAACCATTAATGTCTAAACCATTGGCAACAAAAGTGAGAACACCCCTAAGTGAAAATGTCCAAATTGGGCCCATTAAGCCATTTCCCTCATGTGACTCGTTAGTGTAGTGTAGTGGGGATCAGGTGTGTTAAATTTGGTGTTATTGCTCTCATAATATCTTATACTGGTCACTGGAAGTTCAACATGGCACCTCATGGCAAAGAACTCTCTGAGGATCTAAAAAAAAGAATTGTTGCTCTACATAAAGATGGCTTAGGCCATAAGAAGATTGCCAAGACCCAAAAAATGAGCTGCAGCACAGTGGGCAAGACCATACAGCGGTTTCACAGGACAGGTTCCACTCAGAACAGGCCTCGTTGAGTGCACATGCTCAGCGTCATATCCATAGGTTTTCTTTGGAAAATAGACATATGAGTGCTGCCAGCATTGCTGCAGAGGTTGAAGTGGTGGGGGGTCAACCTGTTAGTGCTCAGACCATACGCCGCACACTGCTTCAAATTGGTCTGTATGGCTGTCGTCCCAGAAGGAAGCCTCTTCTAAAGATGATGCTCAAGAAAGCCCGCAAACAGTTTGCTGAAGACAAGCAGACTAAGTACATGGATTACTAGAACCATGTCCTGTGGTCCAATGAGACCAAGATAAACGTATTTGGTTCAGATGGTGTCAAGCGTGTGTGGCGGCAACCAGGTGAGGAGTACAAAGACAAGTGTGTCTTGCCTACAGTCAAGCATGGTGGTGGGAGTGTCATGGTCGGGACCTGCATGAGTGCTGCTGGCATTGGGGAGCTACAGTTCATTGAGGGAACCATGAATGCCAACATGTCCTGTGACATACTGAAGCAGAGCCTGATCCCCTCCCTTCAGAGACTGGGCCGTACAACACTATTTCAACTTGATAACGATCCCAAATACACCTCCAAGAAGACCACTGCCTTGCTAAAGAAGCTGAAGGTAAAGGTGATGGACTGGCCATGCATGTCTCCAGACCTAACCCCTATTGAGCATCTGTGGGGCATCCTCAAATGGAAGGTGGGGGAGCGCATGGTTTCTAACATCCACCAGCTCTGTGATGTCATCATGGAGGAGAGGAAGACGACTCCAGTGGCAACCCGTAAAGCTCTAGTGATCTCCATGCCCATGAGGGTTAAGGCAGTGCTGGAAAAAATGGTGGCCACACAAAATATTGAAACTTTGGGCCCAATTTGGACATTTCCACTTAGGGGTATACTCACTTTTGTTGCCAGCAGTTTAGACATTAATCACTGTGTGTTGAGTTATTTTGAAGTGACAGCAAACTTACACTGTTATACAGGCTGTACACTTGCTACTTTACATTGTAGCAGAGTATAATTTCTTCAGTGTTGTCAAATGAAAAGATATAATAAAATATTTACAAAAATGTGAGGGGTGTACACACTTTTGTGAGATAATATAAATAAAAATACTGTATTAAACTGGTATTAACAACTAATATATATAGAAGAGGGAGACATGGCTTTCTAGAGCACACAATGACAATCTAGTTTAGATGTTAGAAAAGATGATTTTGTTTATAATTTGAGAGTTTAATGGATCTTATTGACACAGTGTCAATAAGGTTGAGAGCTGCAGGTAAATCCTGATGGGAAGACATTAGAAAGAGAACTCTCTTGGTTAAAGGAACACTATTGCATTAGGAATACAAATGTGTACTCCTAACGCTATAGCCTCCTATTTGTTTAGGTGATCGCCCCCACTGCAAGGGTTAAAAAGTAGTTTCACTTACATTTTATCTCATGCCGCGATGCTCTCTACGTGGCTGGACACCTGGCCAATTGGGAGTTTCACTCCACTATTTCTGCAGAAATGCCTGTTGTGCTTGCCAGAGTAACAGCCACAAAAGGCACTTAAACCCCTGCAATTAAAACGTTATCGTTCCTGCGGAACATGAATGTTCACTTGCAGGATTAAAGCTAGAGGGACATTGCATTGAGTGGTGTGGCTGCCCTTTAAATTCTAGCCAAGAATCACAGAAATTGCTTTTATACACTCTCCAAAGGTTATATCATGATGTCCAAACAAGTCATCACAAAGAAGGTCCTCAATTAATCCCAGGTTCAGATAGTCAGCACACAAGGTTAAGACATAATTCAAGGTCTTGAAGAATCCTGATAAAGTTACATCAGGTTTGGAAAAGGACATTGCCAGATGACATTAAATCCATGTGACAAAAGGCAAGTGTATGACACTAAACACTGACATTACATTTCACATTGATACTTCTGGCATCTACCAAGATTACTTCTGCTACTTTAACATAGCATTCAGACACCAGCAACTATCTCTTTGATAACATTTTTATTAATTTCAGACTTATAGCATGCAGTATATCACACGAAATGCAACTAAATACAATTACACCAAAAAACTCCTATATAAAGCAATGAATATCTATAAGCACACAGAGTGATATATATACAGAATAAAACTGTACTTACAAGCAGATTGTTAGTTAAGTGGGGATGTGTCAGTATGTGTGTTATTTGTGATATATTGTGCTTGTTTTTAATGTGTGGTATGTTGCATGTGTGACTTTAATTATTACACACACACACACACACACACACACACACACACACACACCCCCCCCCTCCCATACCAAGTGAGTTGTGGTGGAGAAAAAAGTGTGGATGGAAACCCCTTCCACCTGCAATAAGTGGATAGTTAATACATTATTAACTACCAACTAATTTCAGGTGGAAGGGGTTTTCATCCACACTTTTTTCCTCATCACAACTCTCTTGGTATGTACTTTACAAGTAATGCCAAGCCTCTATACCAAGCCAGTAACCAAACTCATGCTGATGAGTTGCATTAAGAACGAAACAGCTGTCCATGAGTGGTTCACTGGCTTTGCTCCTCTTCCTGAGGTGTGTTTCAAAGCTGTTGTATTCAGCAGACACATTCGCCAAGAAATTCATGTATGAAGTGGAATTATTGCAGTAGTTAAAGTGAGATTTCTGTGGGAAAAGCAAGAAAGCAAGTCTTATGGCTTGACTGGTGTGTATATATATATATAGTCTGTTCCATTACTAAATGTTATTCGGCATAGTTGGCAAACATAATGCCATGTATCTTGCATTTGGTGATACCCTCCTGTAAATCATGCAATATATGAATTGTCTCTTTCATGGTCTGTGAAATCTATACAGTTACAGGCTATCTTAAACCTGATATATTTTTTTAAGTAATGGACAAGGAACATTCTTTGGTGATTTTTAATGATCAATCAGATATCAAGAAACTGACATCAATCCTTCCTACACGTGTAATCAGGCACATGTTATAAATTGCGGAGAGCATCTATGATTTTTTTTTGTGAGCAATCTACATGACTTACATGAGAAACCCATGAAGAGTGCACAGAATAATTCTAAGATGCACTTTTGTTTGACTTTCCATGGCACAAAAAGCCCGACCCTAATGTTGGAAATTCAAAATCAGGAAATTATTAATTTTGCATTGGAGGCTCTGAACAAGCCTGAAGTAGATCTGGATTTCAAATGGCTTTTCAATATAATCTCCATATTACTATAAGGAAGGTTTTAAACCAGGCTTCCCCAAGCTCCGGCCCTCCAGATGTTGCTGAAATACAACTCCCATGATTCTCAGCCTATCTATTTCATTCATAGAATCATGGGGGTTTTAATTCTGCAACATCTGGAGGGCTGGAGTTTGGGGGAGCCTGTTTTAAACCTTCTCATGCTGCCACCTGCCCCCACCTCATAGGATGGAACATTTCTAGTGACTGAGTAGCAATATTTAATATGTATGCCTCCACCTGCCGAATGGAAAACACAGATTTTTATCTGCACAGTTAATGCATCTGTGTGATTGCAGCCAGATTTTGCGTTAGTAAATATAAGAATTGCCATTCCGGTTGGAATTTGGACATTTTCATTTTGTGCATCCAGAAAATATCTGATGTTTTCAGTGAATAACCCTGTAAATAAAATTTTGCATTCACATGGTCTGTGAATTTTACTTATTAAAATTAAACTGAGCTGCCTGTTTTTGATCTTTCTAATGTGATCCTTTCTGTGGAAGAACATATATTTTTAAATTTGTTAAAGATATTACAACATGCAAATAGTATCAGAAAATAACGTTTTAAAAAGTTTAATACAATCACCCTTAATCTGTGGAGAACAGTAGCACAATTTAATATGTTAACTGTCTTATTTTTAAGTCTGTAAGTAGAACAGAGTCTAAAGCCAAATAGTACCTTTGTTTTGGTGGGTAATTAATGTCTCCTGTGGCTACAGTTCACTGAAAACTTAGCTTTTGATGGAGTAGCCAACTTTGAGGTAAGGGAAGCATTAAACGACCCACTGTAATAGTGAGAGTCTAGAGTTTAGAACTTACATAAGAGGAAAATTAGACAAAAATTTTCATGATGAAGTGAAAAATATCAATTCGCGGGCAAATTTTGAGGTTTGTCACCTCAAAAAAAATTAGATTTACTGACAAAAAAATTGTGGTTATTTTTGTGTTTAGGTTAGGTTTTTGGAGGGGAGGAAAAAAGAACGTTTGCTTAAAAACATGGTTTTGGCTGCAAAAATATTTGGTCTGGCTTGTTATACTATATTGTTGCTTATTTCCAAATCTTTTCAACAAGAAGATTTTCTTCTTACACAAAGTGCAGCATGTAAAATATCTATCTATCTATCTATCTATCGATCTATCTATCTATCTATCTGTCTGTCTGTCTGTCTGTCTGTCTGTCTGGAACAATCCTGTTATTCTGTATTCATAGTTGCAACAATGCATTCAGTCATCTATACATACTTTAAGATACCTGCTTTTTACATAAAACTGAAATCCAAAGAAATTATGTCAGATGTTTTCTGACCTTTAACAAACCAGGTTGTACCTGTGATGAGAACCTTCTGTTATCATGTTAGCTACAACATATTATTAAAAGTGAAAAAGCTCTGGTGTTGTCTTGCTTTCCCCTCCCTCTCTCCTCCTTCTCCCCTCCCTCCCATTGCCGACTCAGGGCGCACGTGCATACATTGAGACAGTTAATTTAGGGGAGACCTAAAGAATAAACCTAATAAGGCATTATTCATTAAAAACAATATGCATTATTAGGGACGGACTAACCCTTTAGCCATCTTGATTTATTTTGTAATACATTTCTTAAACAAGTAGTTAACCAGAACTCTTTGTGTATTACCAAGCAATAGTGTTTACTGTAAACCCCTGCTGTACATCTAAATCCTAAATTCAAACTCACAACCACTGCAGAAAGGAGATTACAGTGCTAAGAAAGAAGGTGCTATAGACAATGATGCTATGGAATCCTATCTGCTGTTGACAAAGTCCAGATAATTGCATACTGCAGTAGATGGTTTGTATTTGACTATAGATCAGCAATTCTTCTCTTCGCAGTAAAATACTGTCCGTCAACAGCTGTGGCTGCTGGAAAAAATAGAACAACCATTGGTTAGAAGGCATGGAGAAACCCAGTAATAATAAAACCTCCGCTCTTCCCTTTTTTCAATCACACATATCATTAGACAGTTAAATGGCTAATGATTAAAGCAGAGAAATATTTATTTTCATAAGAGGCACATTCTTCAAATCGGAAGAACATAGCTGTTGCATGTGGGCAGCTTTCTATGGTAAAGCTAGGGCCGGATTTATATCACTGGCACCTGTAGACAGATAATTCTCAACCTGCCCCCCTCCACACATACAAACTAAAAAAAAACCTTGATTGTTTAAAATATGATTAAAAAAATGTTGCATTCACACACAGACACGTACAGCGTATATGTCTGTCTGTCTGACTGAGTGTATGCATATGTATGTTTCTATGTAGACAATGTGTGTAGTAGTCTGTGTGTGTATGTGTCTATGTGAGTGAATATGTCTTTGTGTATGTACATGACTTTGTGTGTAGCAATGTGCATGTTTGTAACAGTATGGTGTAGCGGTGTGTGTGTAACAGTGTTTGTGTGGGTAGCAGTGTGTGTGGTGCACATGTATGATTTTAGTTGGCCATACTGGTTCCAGTCCTGTGCTGCAGATCGGTGTTTTACATCTTTGGGCGCACAACCATACAAGAGTTCCTTTATTTCAAGGAAGCCATAACACCAATGGCCTCTGCTTCTAGATTGTGGGGAGGATCTGTATTAATGAGAACTAGCTTTAATGGCTAGATCTCAGCTCAAAAAAAGAGTTTTAATGGCTAGATCTCAGCTCAAAAGTTGGACCCTCTTTTATGTATTGATTTGAGTACATTATTCTTTCTTTTTCCCCAATTGTACAGCACTGCAGAATTTCTTGGCACTTTATAAATGCTAGTAAGAATAATAATAATGAGATTTTTTTTTTTTTTAAACGGCTAATATGCACATAATATTTAAGACGCCTGCTAAAGATTGTATCTCCTGGGGCACTTTAATAATTGCTTGTCATCTAAAAAAAAATATTTATCCTGGAATAATGCTTTTTGACCAGACACATTCCCACACCTAACCCAAGAACATTGAAAACATCTGATTCACAGCTGGGCATTGGCTCCAGGTTGATCTTCTCACCAGGGGGCAAATATTTCCCCTCTTTGGAAAGGATGAAGAGAGTTACCTTGTTTCTATATATCTGTGGTCTGCATGCCCTTCTCGTAAGCTTTCCTGCATGAACAGAATGAGTGAGTGCACTTGGAGCAGTCTGTAGCCTGGAAGCCATTGTGGCAGTGGCATCACTAAGGGGTGCGGACTGGAGAAGGAGTGTCTCCCAATAAGGTTCCTCTAGCCTCACTGGCAGGCAAGAGTCCAGAATAGCTAGCTCTGTTCTAGTCTCTCTGCCCCATCTGTTCCATGAGTTTCGTCTGGGAGCCACCAAGACTTAAAGAGCATAGTGAAGAAAAAAAGGGAATTGGGGGCACACATGGACTTAAGGAGCAGACTGGCCAGGGAGAGCACCACAGAGCTGTGAGGGGGTGAAGTGAGCTTTAGCTCTCACCCTCTTATAAGTGCCAACTTGATGTATGACTCCCATGAGCTCTGGGCAGTTCAGAGTGTATCCATGGGTTGCCAGAGCTTGCAAGAGCCTGTAAAACAGGTCTCTACCAGGTGTGCACCAGAAGATCTCCACATTAGACCACAAGTGTTAGGCCATGTCCCCACCTCCCTGACCAAACATAAAAAGAGGTAATTGGGAATAAACTTTATTTTTGTTTTAATAATAATATATTTTTATAGTAATAAAAAAAAATTCCCACAATTTAAAGCCCTTTCTAATCCCCTACCACAAACAGACAGTCCCTATCCCACACTACAATTACAATTATTTATGTAGCGCCAACATATTATGCAGCAGTGTACATTAGGAAGATAAATATTTATTAACTACATTGGCTACACATACATACTGCATCCCCAAAATGAACACACACTGCATTACCTATAAACACACTCACGTGCAAACACTCTATCTCCTAAGTACAGCATTCCCCCTGCATACACATACACACACAAACAAAATATAATCCGTAAATGCAGTGAGATACAGGAATTAGACATGTGCAATTCGTTTCGGTACGAATTTAAATTTGGATGAATTTCGGACATTCGGATGCTTCTGAATGTCTGAATTTCCGAAGTGCCAAATTTCGGACGTAAAAACGAACTATTTGCCGAAGTCCTGATTTGGAGAATTTTGGAAGTGCCGAACTGAACCGAATTGCCGAAGTGCTTCGGATTTCTGAAAAGTGGCAAAATAGGAGAGGGAGGGAAAATTAAAAGAATGATGACAGGAATCTAACCCTACCCCTATTTCCTACCCCTAACCTGTAACCTTACCCCTAACCCTATCCCTAACCCTACACCTTACCCTAACCCTACCCTTACCCCTAACTATGAATTGACCGATTATCGGTCTGGACGATATTCTGTATTTTCAGCAATATCAATATCGGCCAATAAAGATACTGATATTGCCGATAATGCAGACCAGGGCTGCCATTAGGATGGGGCCCACGGGTTAGGCGTAGGGTTAGGGTTAGTGTTAGGGTTAGGGGAAGGGTTAGGGTTATGGTTAGGGATAGGGTTAGGGCTAAGGTTAGGGGTAGTGGTAGGGTTAGGGTTATGGGTAGGGTTAGGGATAGGGATAGGGAATTGCCGAAGTCCCAAATTCACGAAATGCCAAACTGAATTGCCAAATTCCCAATTCCCGAATTTAGAAAGTGCCGAACTGAACCAAGGTGCAGAAGTCCCGAATTGCCGAAGTCCTGAATTTCGGAAGTGCCGAACTGAACCAAATTCTTTTTTGCATATCCCTAACAGGAATTACGATTTGTGAGTAATATTAGTTCAAAAACATTACTAAGGATTCTGTATGATCTTGTGCTGGTGAAGGTTCATTGGGGTTAAATCGTGACTTGCTGCACTAGGTGGCACCAACGCTAGTATTTCCACTGCGTGGTGGCATCTGCATTTTGAATCACTTACATTAATCCTAAAACCGTATAAAGTGAACATAGTGTTTGGTAAGTGCAAATATGTTGAGGGTGTTTTAAATATGGATCATGTTTTCTTTGTTTGTTGTGGTTTATTGGTGTCTACAGTAAATGGTTAGGATGTAGGTACAGTACATTGTATATGTTCTGTCTGAAGCTTGTGGTTGCAAGTGAATTCCTTTGGCAGTCATGTAAGTGCACTGATTCAGGATTAAACCCAAAT